AAGTACGGACCTGATGGGGCGCTGACCCGCTACAAGTCAAGGCTTGTGGCTAAGGGGTTTCAGCAGACAAAGGGAAAGGACTTCAACGAGCTCTATGCTCCTGTGGGGAAAGGCACAACACTTCGGGTGTCATTGGCAATGGCAGCATACCGTGGATGGCGGGTGAAGCAGATGGACATCACCACCGCCTTCCTCAATGGGATCATTCTGGAGGAGCTGTACATGTTACAGCCTGAGGGTTTGGATGATGGGAGCGGCAGGGTGTGCAGGCTGAAGAAGGCCATCTATGACCTGAAGCAGGCTCCTCGTGCATGGTACCACAAGTTAGAGGAGACTCTGCTGGCTGGGGGTTTCAAGAAGAGTGAGTGTGATCACAGCTTGTTCCTGCTGCAGGAGAAGGAGCAGTTTCTCATGCTCCTGGTGTATGTGGATGACATCCTGCTCTTCTCTGAGTCGTCTGCAATGATTGAGCATGTGGAGGAGATGCTGGAGATGCAGTTTAAGTGCTCCAAGATGGGAGATGTGAAGTACTATTTAGGGATGCATGTGGAGAGGGACCTTGACAAGGGAGTGTTGAGGTTGCACCAGAGAAAGTATTGTGAGGGGCTGGCTGAGAAGTATGGGCTGCAAGATGGAGGAAAGCCAGCCACCCCACTGCCTTCGGGGTTCACTGTAGAGCCCTGTGCTGATGAGGAGGTGGTGGGTGAGAGTGACAGGAAACTTTTTCATTCCATGGTTGGGGCACTCAACTATGCGGCTAACCACACACGGCCTGACATTGCCTTTGCAACATCCAGGCTTGCCAGTGTGGTTTCACGCCCCAGTCATGAGCAGCTGGAAGCGGCCAAGAGGTTGGTCCGCTATGTGAGTGCAACGGCATCAGTGGGTTTGGAGTACAGTGCTGTGAGGCAGAGGCTGCAGAGGAGTGCAGCTGATTTGAGCAAGGGGGAGATGCTCCTGACCTGCTACACTGACGCTAGCTTCAACTCGGTGAAAGCGGATGGCACCAGCATTGGAGGCTATGTGTGCCTGTTCGGAGGTGGTGCAGTGAGCTGGCGCAGTAAGAAGCAGAATGAGGTGGGGCAGTCCTCGTGTGAGACAGAGTACATGGCCCTGCATCATGGGGCAAAGGAGGTGGTGTGGCTGAGGCGTTTGTTGGAGGAGATTGGAGTTGGTCAGAGGGAGCCGACTGTGATTTTCTGTGACAATGAGTCGGCGGTGAAGCTAGCGAAGAATGCTTGTCTTCATGGGCTGACCAAACACATCAGGCCTAAGTGGCACTGGGTGAGGAGGCTCCTGGACAAGGAGGTGCGGCTGGAGATTGTGAAGACCCATCAGCAGGCGGCTGACATTCTCACCAAGCGCCTGGCTGAATCTGAGCATTGGAAGGGCATGAAGCTTGCTGGGATGAGTGTGCATTGAGGATGCATGCTTGAGCTATGGCATGTGGGATGATGGTTGGCAGCCAGAGGGGGAGTTTGTTGAGTGATGCTACCATTCGCATTCACGTCTGTCTGCCTCCCATCATATGTTCGTGCATTGCATGCGTGTTGTGAGTGTGTGCAAGAATTTGTGTTTTGTGCGGTTTGGTTTTTCTGAGTGTGTGTGTGAATGTTATTTGGCTTGAGCAGATATCTGAAGTGACTCCTCTGCTCAAGAGCTTTCCGAGGAACCAAGTATCGCTTCAATCGGAGCACGAACTAGAAAGTTACGAACGTTGGAGTTCGTATGCTTTTGATATTTGGTTGTGGTGACTATGGGAAGTTGTGGGGTTGACTCAATATGGGGTACAGACTTTTGGGGGTTGGGAAATTCGTCTTTTCTACTGTAGTTGCTGCCAAATGGTTGGGAGAAACCAAACCAGGTTGGCAAGTGTGGCCAAGTTGGGTTGAGGTGGATTGTGGAGGTTGGGATAGTGACAAAGGTCAAAGTTGGGTTGCCTATGGGGAAGGGAATTGTATGGCATGGGGTTTCCTTGGTTGGGGACTCTCTTGGGACCTTCCCTCTCGTCCTCCTTATCCCTTCCACCTGGTTTAGTGCTACTCTAATTCTCTTGTGTGAACTTGTGTGAACTTTGTGATTGAGTTAAGTTCTTATGGCAGCATACCCCCCTGTGCGCCGAAATTGATAAGTCGAGATTTACTTCACCTCTTGATACGTTTCAACTTGGGAATTGTAGCCACGGAGTAGGGCTACAACATATATGAGTTTAGTGAAGTTTAGACTGTGCACGTTTCGTCGACGGCGTTTCTTGTGAGCGCAACTATTCTGTCCAGAAATAGGGACCAACGATTTTGAGAAATTTAGGCACCTAATCTTCATAGACTCCGTCCTTAGTCTCTAACACCAGTTTGCCCATACTCCAGCGCGCGCTGAAGCTCCTTCCAGCCAACAAAGGATGGAAGGCAAGTTACAGCGTAGCCAGTGGTGGATGATTTGTAGCGCACAGCCGACAGTATAGCTTGAATGGCCTTCGAGGTTAAGAATGCTAATCGGTTTCAGTGTGCATTGTTTGGGGTCACAACATGTGCAGGAGATCTGTGAGCAGTTGTGCGTTCATCTGTTCATCGAGGCGGACAACAAGTCTATGACGTTCTACCCGAGCAGCGCAGCAAAGACTGCAGGTTTGTGTGCCGTCATCGAGAGCCTGCCACATACATTCGCGAGCTTGGCTCTGGCGGCTGACAAGGCTAGGCGCTCTGACCTTAATCGCACCTTGAGCGACTGGAAGACGGCGGCTGCTGGACGTGTGTGCGACATCGCGCTGCTGAAGCTCGGGCTTTTCCGTGACGAGCGGGACGAGCGGGTCCCGTGGGCGGCACCCAAGGCTCGTTCGGCGGCAAGGGTCCAGGAGCGACTTGCACTGACATTGGACGGAGAGGGTAGGACATGTCGATGCATTGTTTGCTTGATAGAATTTGGGTGGGATGCGTCCTGACAGTTAATCTGTATCCATGTGAACGCAGTCACTTTCGCCATCTCCAAGTAGAGCGAGGACTGCCGAGGCATGCCATTTGCGTCTGGTGCCTTCGCAGCTTGTGCCCATGCGGCGTTCAAGCCGCGGATGCTCAACTGCACTGTGATGCTGAAGCTGTACCACATGGCATGGCTCGAGCACGTGGTAAGGAATTATCCTGGACACAGTTGGATCTCTGCTGGGCGAGCTAGAAAGTGCTCTGAACATGGTTGGGTATGCCTTTACATGTCATGTGCAGGTGACCGATGCCATCCGCTACTGGGAGACTCGCAAGGGAAGGCTGTCCAACTTTGCGGGTGTCAATGCGCAGATCGTGGACGGCCTCTGTGAGTGTGCTCTGACGGACGTCATGGCGGCTGTCGATCAGTTCCAGCCGGCGTACGACGCAACCACTTCCTCATGGGCATGGGGTCGCCATGGCCTATGCCTTTCTGCGTGCGGCATCGAGCGCCAGGCGACAGCCGCACCTGCAGCCAGCGAGAGCGGAAGGGAGGGGGACAATCTCTCGCTGAACTGATGTGACTGTTTCACGGAACCCGGCTGGCGTGGGAGCTGAAGTGCAATGCCGTGCACTACATGTGGAGGAACACCGTGTCTTACAGCCTAGGTTGTGGCATTCTGTAGTAGTGGTTGTTGTGTTGTGTTTTTTGTGTGACGTAAGTGGAAGTGGTGTGGGGGGAAACCATATAGAAGAATGAATAAATCAATGTTTGCTGATTTTTTCAATGAGCTGGAGTGGGAGACTCACACCCCAGTAGATATCACCAACAGAGGGGAGGGTTCTAGAAGGTGAAATGCAGTTCATATGAACTCAGTGGTTGGAGCGCCAATTTCATGTGGGCCACGATGGACGGTTGGATGTTGATATGAGACTGGGGCGGCGCGTCGAGTTGCGTGAAGGACGGTTGTTGCGAGAAGTCGAGATGGGATTAACGGGCAAGATGTTATGTAACCATGTAATTGAGAGATGAGGTAGGGGCTGGGAGGCATTGTTCCGCCGTTGGCGAAATGTCGACTCCGGGCGATGCTGGACGAGGATTGGCCACATACGGAGGTGCGACGCGGGCGTCTAAGGGACGAGAAAATGTGCACCGTAGATGACAGCGAAAGAGATGCTTTGTCCGTGGTCCATTTGGAGTAAGGATGGCCGTTGGATTGTCGTTGATCCCCAGTTGGGCGAGATGTGAGTTTCACACTAAGCCGTCAATGGATGGTGGTAACATCATCTTGGCTCACATATGTGTGTCCCATGGACGTTTTAGATGGTGTCAATGAAGCATTTGGTTGTTGTCTCGCCGCATGCACAACTGTGTGATAGGGGGTGAATGTACGGTTAGATGTGCAGAACCGCGGGTTGGCGAACACGCATCCAGTGATCGTCAGTAATGTGAGTGTCAAATCTCGACGGTACACGTGTGGTCATATCAACAGCAGTAGGAGAAACTTTGCGGGTGTATGGTGCGATACGTGGATGAAGCTCCGTCCTTGATTTAACTCATCCCGTGATGAATCGTGGTCGTTTGTGTCACGTGCTTTGCAGGATATGTGGCGACATCTGATTCGGGGACGCGTCTGTATACTAGGCGTATATACGCTTGGTCTGTAGAGTAGATGTAATGCAAAGATGTCACTGTACAACACGAGGCTGCTGACGTGGCGGTGGTGTAAATTTGTAATGTTTCGGTGACCAATCGGATACTTGGGACGCGGTCACAGCGAAGTGATGAATCCGTGGTGGAATCATGACTAGGTGGGTAACGGAAAATTGAGGTTTCTGTGACTTTTGGGTGACAATTTGGTGCCCGTGGCGTGACTGGCTATGTGAATAGGCCCTCTGGGACTTCCGTCCATGACTTTTCCGTGACGGAAATCTGTCACGAAAAGTCACAATATTGTCCCTTTTCGGTGACTTCGGGCCCTTGTAAAAACCGCGATGAGGGGGGTTACCACCGAAGAGCATCGCCTGCTGCTGCGGACTCAAAGCAGCCCCCCCTGGACTCTGCTGCTGCTGCTGCTGCTGCTGCTACTGCTGCTGGTAGTTCTGCTGCTGGTTATTCTGCTGTTGCTGGGGGCTGGAACTTTGGGCAGCACGAGCCCAGGGCACCACGTAAGAAGCAGGCTTGCTCGGGCCTCCTTGCACAACTGTACCAGTACCATACGCACCACCCATTCCCCCACCTATGCCCCCACCCATCTCACCACCCATCCCACCACCCATCCCACCACCCATACCCCCTCCCATGCCTCCTCCCATGCCTCCTCCCATGCCACCTCCCATGCCGCCATACCCCCCTGCACCACCATACGCATGCTGTGGTCGCTGCTGGTACTGCAGTTGCTGGTATGAGGAGCTGAAGGCATACGGAGCAGCAGCACCACTAGAGGGGCCGGGGGCAGCAATGGCTTGGAACGGCGGCTCGTCAAAGGGCGAGTCAAAGGGAGAGGAGGAGGAGGCGGGGTGGGCGGCAGGAGCATTGGCAGTGAAGGTGGGAGGGTGGGGTTGGGGAGGAGGGGCGATTGAAACAAGGTCGAGGCTGAGCAGGTCCTGGGTGGGAGGAGGGACGGCCGTGGCAGGCGCTGCTGCTGCGGCGGCAGCGGCAGCTCGTGCTGCTGCCGAAGATTGTTGCGCGGGCTACCCTGCTTGACCTGTGGAGGCGGTCTGTGTCTGTGCTGGTTGGGAAGAGGACGGGCATGCAGCAGCAGCAGCAACAATGGAGGCAGAGGCCTGTGCTCCATGAGACCTTCTCAGTACGCCCCCCCCATCCTCCTCCTCTGTCTGGGCACTTTCGAACCGAGCCAAGGGCAGCCCAGCCGTCACCCCCGCAGCCCACACATCATACTGATGCTCGTGATTCACAACCCCACCCCCGCCTTGGCCCTCATTCTGACTGGGATAGGACTGGTAGGCCCAGGGGGGGGGGGGGGAGGAGAGGCGGCGCCGCTGCTGCTGTCGCTGTGGCGGCCGTCTCCCCCACGGTGCAGCGAAGAGGCGAGGAGTTTGCTGTGGGACGGATTGAAGGGGAAGGGAAATGGTGGGAACAAAAATGTGAGAAGGGAGAGAGGAAAATGAGGGTGCTGTGGTGGATCAGGTGCCTCTGCATGTAGGTGTTCAGTGTGAGTCCCTGTAACAGTCACTGCTTGTCGGTGCAGGGTTGGTGCACGAGGATGAACAGAAGAAAGGTGATGGGAAATATCTGATATGGGAGATTGGGAACAATTTGGGTGCTTTTGCATGTCGCCGTTGATAGTGAGACCCTGGAAGAGAAACTGGTGATGGTGATGATGATGGTCATGGTGATGGTGATGGGGATGGGGATGGGGATGGGGATGGTGATGGTGATGTTGATGGTGATGGTGAGGGTGGTGGTGATGGGGATGGTGATGGTGATAGTGATGGTGATGGTGATAGTGATGGTTATGGTGATGATCATGGTGATGGTGATGGTGATGGTGATGGGGATGGAGATGGGGATGGGGATGGGGATGGGGATGGGGATAGTGATGGGGACGGGAATGGTGATGGTGATGGTGATGGTGATGGGGATGGTGATGGTGATGGGGACGGGGATGGGGATGGTGATGGGGATGGGGATGAAAATGGGCATGGTGATGGTGATAGTGATGGTGACGGGAATGGGGATTGGGATAGGGATGGCACAAGGTGGTGGATGATGGGTGGAAGATTCTTAGGTTTCTAGGAGCGTGCCCTTACTATAGTCATTATTTGCTCAAGGCAAACTTACTGCCTTGTGTGTGTAGTTATTGAGGGGATACGGTTGATGGCTTCAGGGGTGGAAGGATAGTAGTTGGGTGGGAAGGGTGGCGAGGTTGGAGTCTTGTACTGCCTGAAAGGAACTCTTCTGAAATGTCCTCAGCGGTTTATTACAATAACCTCTTACCGCAGATTGTTGTTTGACAAATATCAGGCTTAGAGGGATTGCAAGCATGAGGTCCAGCACTGTTGCTAATGCATTCATGCATGAGACGTATGGCAGTTCGGTGAGTTTAATTGAATTTGGCACCTGCGTGATTCTAGCTGTGTATGCATGAGCAGGAACACCGGTTGCATCTGGTACAGAAGCCGATATTCCACCTTGAAGGTATGCTGGCTGCACCACATGCCTATACCTGCAGCATGTGCCAATTTGTACACAAGCCAAGCCAGTGCACATGTCAAGTTGCATCACTTCTCCCCACACATGTGTGAATTCGCTGAAGCGCAGATGCTAATCCATGCAACAACCCATTCGGCCTCACCATACCTATTTAGCTCATGATACAAGTAAGGCTGCCTTCACCTTCGCCTTGCCCTTCACAAGATGGTGCTGCACCGGCTTTGAACCCATCCCATGCTGCTCCCCTTCTCGACTTGCGATTGCTGCCTTCATCCAACCACACCACCCCCAACCAGGACTCTGGATAGGATTTAGCTTACCTGTTATTGTAAGGGTACTTAGCATGAAGTGGTCTTTCTATAAGAGTAAAGAAAACTCGCTCTTTTTTATCAGTGTCATTCCTAGAACTACTTTTCCTCATTAGTGTGAAAAGCGAAGTTACCCCTTTTTAAGTTTGTTGTAAGATTTGACTAATATATCGCATCAATCAAGTTTCTAGATATCTAGCACATGCTAATAGAGGAATTCCTGGGCTGGGCGTTGCTTCTTGATAGCCTGGAACAGGGTTACCACATCAGCCCGGTTCACATCGTCGGTTGGAAAAAGAGCAGCTGACATGATATTGCCTAGTCGTGCATCGCCGAGGCTTGTCCTGCTCCACGTCTTGATGCAGTTCTGGCGACTGGATCCGCGCTCGCACTCCACGGTGCTGAGAGGGAGCACGGCTACAGCTTGCCACAGCTGTACCAGGTTTGGGTAGGCACCAGCGACTACGCTGGTGCGGAGCATGAGGGTGAGCGACTTGAAGAAGCTGAGGTTCGCGTGGTTGAGGTCCATCGTGTGCAGAAACAGAGGGAGCTCCCTCTCGCACGATTTGAAGCAAACAGCTGACGAAAATGTGGGTACGTGGGCGGAGGGTATTAATGGTTTAAATCAAACATGCCGCCAAACAGTAAGAATCACACAAAAAAAAAACAACTTTAAATAAAACATGTCGCGAACATGGGTATGTGGGGGGAGGGTGTTGGTAGGTTAAACAGAACATGTCGTGAAACTGAAACAAACGCACGTACTAGGGAGACAAAAGCGGTGCGCTTTTTTGAGTTGTCTCAGCCACCCACGGCACTTCCTCATCCTCTGGCTGTTGTCCCCAGGATACGCTGCAGGGCGGTACAGCTTCGAGCCACCCAGGTTCTCCAGGTTTTCAAGTCTGAACTCCAGCCGACCAACTATCTCCCGCGCGAATTCCTGGCACACTATTTTGCATGGGTAGAAGTCATAACCAATGGTGTGGCCCTTCGTTGGCTTCTCGTGAAGCGTGAAGGTGTGAACCGCGGGCGCGTCGTCCTTATCAACTCCCTCGACATCGACTTCGCGGAAGGAGAGATTCGTGTGCCTCTTCATAAAGTCGCAGAGCAGGGGCGACAGTTCGTTGCCAAAACGGTCCTCGATTGTGCGACATGCTAGAGAAACTTCACCCGCAACCATAGTGATGTCCACGTGCCCAGGGTAAAAAACACAAGAAAACGTTAAAAACATAATTGATGGATAAAGCAAAACAAGCGGGGTGTGCAAGTCACTAGACATCATGTGTTGTTTTTGAAACGTCATGTTCAGATCGTTCAGGATGGCGAGAATGTCCGCCAAGAAGTACAGAAGAAAGTGAAACTTAAAGGAAGTGACGACTTCGTACAACTCATGCTTGTGCTCGTGTAGCAGCAACACGGTCACCGGCAAACCCTTGGCGAATCTTTTTACTGCCTGTCCACGTGATAGCCACCTCACATAGTGAATCCTTTGAAGCTCGAGGTTGGTGTCGCAGATGATCTCATGCAATTGCCAGAATCGCTGGTGCCACACGCTGCTTCGTGACAACTGCTCCGCTACGGCTCGGATTACTTTATCGACGATGTTAAAATCAGGAACTTTGAGCGCGGCATCTTTTGCGCCCAACGCCTCCCTGCACAAACATAAAAGAAATTCATTTGTATCGAAAAGTGTCAAGAATCTTAACATTGCGTATATTAAACCTTACCGATGAGCAATGCAGTGGCACGAGGCGAGATACGGATTCTTGGCGTGGTCCTGCGACAACACCCGCGTTGGTGCCCGTCATGACCTTGGCCCCGTCTGTGCTTATCCCCACAATCTTCATGATGTCACTGCCGATGACATCCAAATGGGTCAGCATGACTTCTGTAAGACGGCCCGTGTCACATTTTTCTACCATGAGCAGCGTAAGTAAATCACAGACCATGGTGTCGCTCTTGACGAAGAGGACGTATATGATCAAGTTCTTGCCTCGCACGCGGTCCGTCTTTTCGTCGAGCTGGATACCGATGTACGGGCTGATGGTGATGTGCTTCAGATGATCCTGCCGCAAATACTTTGACACGGCCTCCAGCACCTCGTCGAACCCGTACCTACACATGCAACAAGTACAGTTAGAAAGGGGTTGGTCTAACGTTAGGAAATACAGAGCCTTGACATTTACGATAATAGGTTTCACTTACTCATAATAGAAGGTTCTCTTTTGATCCAGGGGAGGATTCGAAACCCCGACCTCCGACATGAACTTGATGAATCCGACGGACGATGTTATCGGGGCTTCCGACTTGCATGTGAAAACTGCTGTCTTCATGGTGATGATGAGGTGCAGCGTGCTCCGATCGAGGCCCTCGAACTCACTCAGGAGTGCATGCCGCAGCTTGCGGCTTTCCTTTGACTTCATCCACTGGTTGCATCCTTGTGTGCTGTCGAGCGCTGGTGAGTCCTGATGCTCTGCTTCAGCATGTCTCACCCTCCTGCGCCGCCTTTGCCGTACGGTGTGTTGGCGCCCTCAATTCCATGCTCCATGCAGGTGCTGCATTTTATAAAGGGCATGCCATCGTCAGCACGTAAAAGAACAAGTCATGAAAACAACCCTTGCTAGGAACTACGAATCCGCCGATGCGACCTGGCGAATGCAACTTTCCGGATCTGGGTGAGCCCGTCCGTCGGCTGACGATTGGAGTTGCATCTCTCGAGAAGCTCAACTTCAGTTGGCGCGAATTATGCTGCGCAATATCGCCGACGGGTTTCCTCTTCCCAGTTGACGTCTCGTCAACGACGCCCTGCGTTTCTGGTGTCGTCAGATCTTGTGGCGCGGGTTCTGGCGTGGTAGTGCCGATTTCTGCGGAGAGTCACTCTACACCGGGAGCTGGACTACGGGGGAAGACACGGGTTCTATGAGTAATCGTAGCATTCTTTGTGTGTTCTCTCTACTTGCGCATTCACATGGCAAATTAGCAAGAGTTTCACTAAAGGAAGTTTATAACAATGGTAGCAACAACATTGGCAAAGCTGACTACATCATAAGCAAGTCTGCCTAGCATGCAAGCAGGCCGACTTCCAGTGCAGCAAGGTCGGCCGTGTTCCAGCACTACAAAGTCTGCACCGCTTCAGCGCGGCAGAAAGGAGACTTGCCAACGCTGCAAGTCGACGGCATGCCATCGCTGCAGAATGGTGGTTGTCCAGCATTGCACCCGCAGGTGACAGCTGCGCACCCACTTCGTAGGTGCTCGTAGTCGGTTGGTGCGACGTGCACCGTCATGTGAACAGCGCAGATGCCAAGTCGGCCACGTGCCGTTGGCTGTGCCTGATGAGCCACGTCAACTTCAGGATACCTCTTCCGAAGTCGGCTTCGCCAGATCCTCCTGGGCGACGGTCGCGCACCCCGCAGACCCGCGTCGCCCTGGTTACTTGGTCGACCTGGAAACCACCAGATCGGCGTCGACTTCATCGGTAGAAGTCAACCAACAGCTGTACGTGCTCGTCGACCACCTAGGTCAACGGCCACTAGCCGACTTCACCAAGTCGGATTCCCCAGCTCGGCGCCACCAAGCCGGCGCCCTCCCAGGCCAACTTCGCTAAGTCGGCCTCCCAAAGTCGGCGCCCCTCCCAGGTCGACGTGTCCCCTCGTCGACCACCACGCTGAAGTCGGCCAC